ATGGCGCCATTCACTGTTCAACGAGATAACAGGTCGAAGGCAGCCATTGGTTCCTTCAACATATGAAAACATGGAACATATGCGGGATCTATTATGTCTCATTGTGCAACAAAGGGATGAGGACAAACTTCTTACTTCATGGATAGACATTCAAATTTCTTTGACGGTAAAGTAAACAATGGCGTATTCGTTTTTGAACCTTCGACCGCGTCACTACCACATCAGTGTGTTAATGTGCGTAAATAACGACCGATATAAATGAATACAATTTTAGGCTTCTCAGGCTTATTGATTTGAAATTTAAAAAGCTATGAAAAGAAGAAAAAGAGTGTTGTTCACTATGTATATTCTAAATGTATTCATAAATCGATGTAGATTCACTGAAAATATATTATACCACGGCTACCGTGGCATAAAAAAATAGTCGAAGCAGTTTGCTACTATGATAACTACTATCATAATAGCAAACTGCTTCGACTATTTTTTTCTTCATTTTTCTTTTTTTGGGGATGTAAATATAAGAAATGACCTTCATTTTGACGGCGTATACGGTAGTGTGAACGCAGTTGGTAACTAACATATTCTGTAGTGTGCGTTAACTGATGGGTCAAGTACAACCTACGGACTGACTTTCATTTTGACAAGGTATTCGGTAGTATAAAGTCAGATGGTGAGAACATATATTCTATGGAGCGCGTTAAAAGAATATGTTCGTTGCCAATAGCGCTCATACTACCCTATACGTCTTCAAATTAAGACTAATCCTTATACATATACATATATCTACTTACGATATTTTTTTAATGCTGCACGAAGAAAACAAAATAATCGAAGAGGTTTCTTTCTATGGTAGCTACGGCAGCCGTGGTTGCTAGGATAACATAGTTGCAGTGAATCTACATCGAAATATATATATGAATATTTTTTCTTTTTGATAGTTTTTGAATTTTCAATGAATTAATCTGAGTAGCCCTTCAAACATTTTTTCTCGCTTATAGTGGCCGTTTTGTACGTGCATTGACATGCTGCTCCGGTAGTGACGATCGAATGTTCCAGAATGAAGCTGCCATTGCTTACCTCATGGGCAAGGAATTTTTAATGTGCATCCTTATAATAAGAAGTTTGTCAGCATCCCTTTATTGTATAAACTAGAAATGATGGCTCCTGAAGATATTCCATACTTCCAGATGTTGAAGGAAACACATGAGTAGTCCGGCGAAAATATTTGAAACAGGTATCAATCCGCATCACGGTTTTTCCCCACTGCGTATACGCCAATTTATACGTTGTCAGAGTTTGATAAGATCAGCTCTCAAGAAGGAAAGATGTAACTATATACCTGTACCATCATCTGTACTATCGAACATGTACCAACACACATTTATCAACATACCACGTATCTGTATCCAACATAAGTATACCAACATACAAGTACAAACACACCTGTATAATAATACCTGAATAAACATACATGTATCAACATACCTCCTGTATCAACATACCTCCTGTTTTAACATACCTGCACCAACATGCCTTATTTGATATACATGCACCAACACACATTGTAACTGTAATGAAATACCTGCACCAACATGCCTTTACTAACATACCTGCACCAACATGCCTTTACTTACATACCTGCGCCAACATAACTGTATAAACATACCTGTACCAATATACCTGTATTGACATACCTGCACCAATATACCTGTATTGACATACCTACGCCAAATACCTGTATTGACATACCTGCGCCAACATAACTGTATCAACATACCTGCACTGACATACCTGTATTTACATACCTGCACCAATATACCTGTATTGACATACCTGCACCAATATACCTGCATTTACATACCTGCACCAATACATACCTTTTTTAACATACCTGCACAAATATACCTGTATTGACATACCTGCATCAACATACCTGTATTAATATTCCTGCACCAATATACCTTTTTTAACATACCTGCACCGATATACCTGTATTGACATACCTGAGCCAGCATACCTTTTTAACATACCTGCACCAATATACCTACCTGTGTGTCTATAACTTAAAGATAATTCCACACATTATAATTTAGCAATAATGGTTACGTTTTCGTTACGCAGCCTTTAATTAGCTATGACGATTTTATCAAAACCTTATTGTAAATGTAGGAAACTGTTCGGGCCTTTCCGTCATACTGTAACAGTGATCGGGGCCAATCATTCCATGACATCGAATATTATCACTTTTACAGAAATTCCAAAATGGTCTCCGACTAACTTCCGTCGAGTGATCATGAAGTGGTTACCACATGAACAATCCCTGCAAAAAATCCTGTACCATCAACATTTTTTTTAAAGTATATTGATACAAAACAAAAGATCAAATATAATTTTCTGCGTTTATTTAACGTAACTAAGGATTGAAATGCATATTCTAAACAACTTATATCGTACCATGGGATACATCCGTAAACAATTTGTTTCCATACCATCATATATATTTAGAATATGCAATGAAATTCTTAAATTCAGAAATTCAGACATAGTTAGTCTATCAGAAAAATCGCTTGGATTAGTCAACTTATTACTACAACATTACTTGACAAAGTCATATCCCTATAGTAATATCACCTGACATATTTAACTCGTCATAGCAATATCACGTCACATAGTCAACCAATCACAACAATGTGACGTTGCATATTTAATATATCACAACTTTATCATATGAAATAGTCAACCCATCACAGCCATATCACGTGGCATAGTAAACCAAAATAAACCTATAATGTGGTAAAATTAAACCGTCACTACAACATGAAGTGACAGTCGTCATTATTCCAAAACAATACCACTTGATATATATAGCTAGCCAATCATAACAGTATCATGTGACATAGTCTACCATTCGTAACATTATCGTGTCACATAGTCCAACCATTGCAACAACGTCAAGTTATAAAGACAACCCATCACAACAATATCACGTGACAAAGGCAATCATCACAACAATAGCATGTGACAATGACAACTCATCACAACAATAACACGTGACAAAGACAACTAATCATAACAATATAACGTGACAAGGACAACCCACCACAACAATATCACGTGACAAAGACAACTTACCACAACAATATAACGTGACAAAGACAACGCATCACAACAATATCACGTGACAATGACAACTCATCACAACAATAACACGTGACAATGACAACTCATCATAACAATATAACGTGACAAGGATAACCCATCACAACAATTTCACGTGACAAAGACAACTTACCACAACAATATAACGTGACAAAGACAACGCATCACAACAATACCACGTGACAAAGACAACTCATCACAACAATATCACGTGACACAATCAACCCATCACAACACTGTCACGTGACACAATCAACCCATCACAACACTATCACGTGACAAAATGAATCAATCACATTTCAGGTACTATCGCATGACAAAAACGACCAATCATAACACTATCACGTGACAAAGTCAACCCATCAAAACAATATTGCGTGGCATAATTTGAGAGAGGAAATCAGTCATATTTCAACACTTCGTTTAAAGACATCCCTCATTTTCGTCACCCATATAATATACGTCAAGCTTTCACGCTTGTTATGTTTATTGCAAACAAACAGTTGTACAGTTGTAAGCGATATATCCTCATTGATATCGAAAACCTTATTCCAATCTGGTTATTTGGATCACCTCTAGTGTTCGGTACAGATATTCTACAAGGAGCAAGTAAAACAGCATAGTAAATACATTTAACTTAATTGGAAACTAATCCTGTTGATGACGATAGCGTAACAAATCACTTAACGATAAATTAACGGGGTTGAGTTGTGATCATAGCCGGTTACAGTGTATGACAGTGTATGATGGAGCCAATGTATCTAAGTAAATGTTTGTAAAGTAAGGATTGCCGTTCGCGTGTCGGAATAACAGAAAAATAGTGATGATGCAGCGTGCTCTGTGTGTAGCACGTTTCGGCACGGCTTTGCTCAATGAAGCGGTTTTGCCATCACGACGCGTCGGGCGATACCGTTTCAATTCCCGTGAGTAAGCCGTCTGATGAATTCTTTTATCGCTCTCTGTACTATACGAATGTTTATAACCTTATTTCGGTTGTGTAGTGAAAGTTCGTCCTATGTATGCGTCTAGGACCCATGCCACGAGCAAGAGTGGTCACTGGTCAAGCAGTGCTGGTCACCAGAATATGTGTTGACCACAGTTGACGCAGAAGCACTTACCAGAAGGGACTTAATTATCTAGTATTCTTCATCAAGGCTTCATCAATGGTTAAATGAATGGTTAGATGATAGCTGAATACATAAGGATACTTCCTTCGACTAGAATATGCATACACATTGTAGTATAAACAAACAAACAAACAATGCGGATATAAACATGACAATATCACTAAGTATATATTCCTGATGAAAAAAAGTTACTTAGATCTGCAACTTTTGTAAAAGAATGTACAAGGTGAAAACAAGTTGGAATGATCCTGACAAGTATTCATAATATTATCACTGTCAAAATCGCACAATTTCAACAGCTTAAAGCTGGTTATAGTTCATTCATGCAACCGTTTGTTACATGAAACCACACTATTATTATTCTGATTTCTTACTTGTTAGTTACTCGCATGCTATACTGTAGATATGCTTGGTTGGCTTTATATATAACTGTTTACTTATATGCAAACAGATCTGGAACTGAAAAGAAAAGGTCCTGGCTCAAAGACACCAAATAGAACGATTTATAATACTGAGTTGAGGCCGGACGCTATACATTGCAGTACTAAATAACAGTTGTAAATATTTACACCAGCGCACCTTGCCATTAAAAGCATGGAGCTTCAAGAAAATATTGCAACTATAATTTTGATAAAATCAATTACAGGGAATTCAATTTAGCGCAATTGACGATAAACATGAAATGTATAATGAAATTGATGGAGTGTGACTTACCTCTGATTCCCATGTCAAGATTTCTCTATTAAAATCCTCAAACTTTAAAGTTAACAGTCACACAGCATGGTGACGTCAGAGAAAGGATGGCGGGTTGTGATGGGCGTGGTTAATGTCCACCCGACAAGTGTGCACGCGCTGACGACACTGACGACACACACTGTGCAGGTTGGTGTCCTCTGTCACAGAAAATCTCGACGTTAACCTGTTGGCGCTGGTCGTGTATCGATTGTGGTGATCTAGCAGGGTGTGCTCCACCAGCTCTGCCTAAGTGCTGAGCCCACCTCTATTTTCCAACAGCCCCGGGGTATACAATACACACTCTACTGAAAACAGGGCCACTTATCGGCAGGTGCTACCAATATTTCACGTTATTTTGTTTTGTTTTACACTTATATAGAGGTATTTGAAAACATAACAGAAGTACATGAAAAAAATGTCAATGTTTGAGAATGTTTGATTCAATGTCAATACTGTATCGTGTTGTAAATATAGAGTTTCCTTACTGGAGCATAGTATCGTTAGATAGTGCTACCAGTGTACACACACTGTTCCACCTGTACAGAAGTATGCCAGCTTTTCTTGGAAATAGGGACTTCGTGTTGTCACGTGACAAAGTCTGTTGGGGGTGGAAACTGTACCAGCCGTGTCTGCCCACGCCTGGCCGGTGTCAACATTACCGCCCTATTAGGAGCGAGCGCCTGGGTCTGACAATCGTTCGATGGCGATAGGTCTATTACAGGGTAAATTTCTGTTGCCGATAAAGGTATATACACTCTTACAAGAATCTGCTAGCGCTTTGTTGAGGTAGCTTATTATATTTTTTATGGAATTATCGGAATTCTAAAAATACAGCCAGTAGCGATGTTGCTAAGCTGGAAGGAGAGCTATATATACCGAGCGATAACGACAATTACTGAAATTATCAACCGATCGCGATGGAATACAGCAATACATGTACAGCTACCTGCAAACCATGCTCTACACTTGTGTGACGTTGTAGGGAATCGAAAACCTAATACGTTACTAAGTGTATAGTGAATAACACTCCTTGACTGTGGGTTGTTTACTATTTATATTTGGATTTCCCCTCCCTCACACGAGGACACACTTGTTCTAATGGAGGTTGGATGTCCTCGCCACTAGAATGCTGTAAAGGTCATTCTAGGCATACACCCACCCAAACTCGCGTCCCACCATCACGGTCCGTCTGTACACATATCTTGAACAGAGAGTACGAATGCATAAAATAATATTATCAGGTCCACATGGGACTTTCAATAGCATTACATCAGTGAATAAACGCAATATCCGTAATGAAGAACAAACATCAGAAGTAGAATGCATTTGGTGCATGAGCAAATATTGTCTAAAATCGGTTGTAGCTACGACTTAATTAGATCTATACAGCGTTTGAATGCCAGTATCAACAGACACAACCATGCATCAGCAGTGGAGGGTTCAGAGTGTTGTGGTGGGGTCCGGACCTCTACGCTTTTAAAAATTGTTTAAAACAAAAAACAAAAAAACCCGGGAAAATGAAACTGTTTAGCCCGAATTGTTTAATAAAACATATGTCGAGTACATATGGGAACAAGTACAAGGTGTTTATGTCAGACGGACAATATGACAAGGTCTTTATGTAGGACCTACAGCGTGACAGGGTGTTTATATCGGACTTACAATGTGAAATGTGTTTATGACGGACGTTCAGTATGACAAGGTGTTTATATCGGACGGACAATGTGTTTATGATAGACGTTCAGTGTGACAAGGTGTTTATATCGGACGGACAATGTGGCAATGTGTTTATGGCTGACGTTCAGTGTGACAAGGTGTTTATGTCGGACGTACAATATAACAAGGTCTTTATGTAGGACCTACAGCGTGACAGGGTGTTTATATCGGACGTACAATGTAAAAATTTATTTCTGACGGACGTTCAGCGTGACAAGGTGTTTATATCGGACGGAAAATGTGACAATGTGTTTGTGACGGACGTTCAGTGTGACAAGTTGTTTATATTCGACGGACACTGTGACAATGTATTTATGTCGGACGTTCAGTGTGACAAGGTGTTTGTATCGGACGGACAATGTGTTTATGACGGACGTTCATTGTGACAAGGTATTTGTATCGGACGGAAAATGTGACAAAGTGTTTGTGACGGACGTTCAGTGTGACAAGTTGGTTATATTCGACGGACAATGTGACAATGTGTAAATGACGGACGTTCAATGTGACAAGGTGTTTATATCGGACAGACAATATGTTTATGACGGACGTTCATTGTGACAAGGTATTTGTATCGGACGGAAAATGTGACAATGTGTTTGTGACGGACATTCAGTGTGACAAAATGTTTATATTTGACGGACAATGTGACAATGTGTTTATGATGGATGTTCAGTGTAACAAGGTGTTTATATCGGACGGACAATGTGACAATGTGTTTATGGCTGACGTTTAGTGTGACAAGTTGTTTATATTCGACGGACAATGTGACAATGTATTTATGACGGATGTTCAGTGTGACAGGGTGTTTATATCGGACGGACAATGTGTTTATGACGGACGTTCATTGTGACAAGGTGTTTGTATCGGACGGAAAATGTGACAATGTGTTTGTGACGGACACTCAGTGTGACAAGTTGTTTATATTCGACGGACAATGTGACAATGTATTTATGACGGATGTTCAGTGTGACAGGGTGTTTATATCGGACGGACAATGTGTTTATGACGGACGTTCATTGTGACAAGGTGTTTGTATCGGACGGAAAATGTGACAATGTGTTTGTGACGGACATTCAGTGTGACAAAATGTTTATATTTGACGGACAATGTGACAATGTGTTTATGACGGAAGTTCAGTGTGACAAGGTGTCTATATCGGATGGACAATGTGTTTATGGCTGACGTTCATTGTGACAAGTTGTTTATATTTGACGGACAATGTGACAATGTGTTTATGACGGACGTTCAGTGTGACAAGGTGTTTATATCGGACGAACAATGTGACAATGTGTTTATGGCTGACGTTTAGTGTGACAAGGTGTTTATATCGGACGGACAATGTGGCAATGTGTTTATGGCTGACGTTCAGTGTGACAAGGTGTTTATGTCGGACGGACAATATGACAAGGTCTTTATGTAGGACCTACAGCGTGACAGGGTGTTTATATCGGACGTACAATGTGAAAATGTGTTTATGACGGGCGTTCAGTGTGACAAGGTGTTTGCATCGGACGGACAATGTGGCAATGTGTTTATGGCTGACGTTCAGTGTGACAATGTGTTTATGTCGGACGGACAATATGACAAGGTCTTTATGTAGGACCTACAGCGTGACAGGGTGTTTATATCGGACGTACAATGTGAAAATGTGTTTATGACGGACGTTCAGTGTGACAAGTTGTTAATATTCGACGGACAATGTGACAATGTGTTTGTGACGGACGTTCAGTTTGACAAGTTGTTAATATTCGACGGACAATGTGACAATGTGTTTATGACGGAAGTTCAGTGTGACAAGTTGTTTATATTCGACGGACAATGTGACAATGTGTTTATGACGGACGTTCAGTGTAACAATGTTTTATATTGGACGGACAATGTGACAAAGTGTTTGTGACGGACGTTCAGTGTGACAAGTTGTTTATATTCGACGGACAATGTGACAATGTGTTTATGACGGACGTTCAGTGTGACAAGGTTTTTATATTGGACGGACAATGTGTGTATGACGGACGTTCATTGTGACAAGGTATTTGTATCGGACGGAAAATGTGACAATGTGTTTGTGACGGACGTTCAGTGTGACAAGTTGTTTATATTCGACGGACAATGTGACAATGTGTTTATGACGGACGTTCAGTGTAACAAGGTGTTTATATCAGACGGAAATGTGACAGTGTGTTTATGGCTGACGTTCAGTGTGACAAGGTGTTTATGTCGGACGTTTAGTATGACAAGGTCTTTATGTAGGACCTACAGCGTGACAGGGTGTTTATATCGGACGTACAATGTGAAATGTGTTTATGACGGACGTTCAGTGTTACAAGGTGTTTATATCGGACGGACAATGTGACAATGTGTTTATGGCTGACGTTCAGTGTGACAAGGTGTTTATATCGGACGGACAATGTGACAATGTGTTTATGACGGACGTTCAGTGTGACAAGGTGTTCATATCGGACGGACAATGTGACAATTTATGGCTGACGTTCAGTGTGACAAGGTGTTTATATCGGACGGACAATGTGGCAATGTGTTTGTGACGGACGTTCAGTGTTACAAGTTGTTAATATTCGACGGACAATGCGACAATGTGTTTATGACGGACGTTCAGTGTGACAAGGTGTTTATATCAGACGGAAATGTGACAGTGTGTTTATGACGGACGTTCAGTGTAACAATGTGTTTATATTGGACGGACAATGTGACAATGTGTTTATGACGGACGTTCAGTTTGACAACATGTTAATAGCGAACTGATAGTGTTACAATGTAAATGATTTTGACAACGGACGAACAGTGAAACAAGGTGCTGATGACGGACGACGGGGTGACAAAATGTTAATATTAAACTTACAGCGTGACAAGGTGTTTTTGTTATTCCTCATCGATTTTACAGCGTGTCTGATTGGTTTGAACACATCACATGACAGGATTGTAAAACATCTAGTCTCCCTCACGCGATCCATTTCGCCCTGGGGACACATGATTTATCTCGGGGAATCAGCTCTTCAGGTCTCCCTCACACCAGGGCAATAAGTATTTAAAGACGGACATACAACGTTACAATGTATTTATGACGGGCGTACAGTATGACAAAGTGTTAATATCAAACTTACAGTGTGACAAGGTTTTTGTGAAGGACAAGCAGTGTGACAACGTGTATTGGCGGTCATAGAGTGTGGTAAAGTGTTTATAATTACCATCGAATATAATTGCCACTATACAATGTATAACCCTACCAAATTCAGTTAGCATTCATATAGGCTATGAATGCCTTGGACCAAATGTTGACGTCATCATTATTATGACGTCATAATTGTTTCGTTGGATACTACTGACCCTCCCCAGGCGATGACTGTTCTATTCATTGAACAAGCATACACAATACATACATAACTTGAAATAAATGCTGAACAATAATAAGTGTAATCGACTTTTTATGAGATGA